GTTGATCCTATTGACCTCCATTAAAATAATTTTGTTGAAGAAATACCATTTTCACTTGGAAATATTTTTTTATTTCACCTCTTTAATTTGTCTTCTCAGTAATAATTTTACTTCCATAATTCACTATTTGAACAAGTAGTCCAATAAACTTAATGGTAGCTTTCCCATTGCACTAATTAATATGAGAATACTTTCAACGTTAGACCATCATTATTGAGGGTCTCTTAAGTTTAAAATTCGTTAAGAGAAACTCTTATAATGATGGTCTTATCTCTCTTTAGCAATTTGTTCACCGGAACGCTTCCTTCTAACATGAGTTTACTCTCCAACTTGAAGTTGTTAATTTGATGTAATGAAAAACGATTTCACGGCAACTCTCCCGCCTTCCCGGCCTCTTTATGATTCCTTCTTTGGAAACTACTGCCTCCGTTCTTATTTAGATGATTTTGTATAGGATTGTGTACAAATATTAAGTAATCATTTTTTTGTATTTAAATTAAAATCATTCAATATAGCTATTTTAACATAATTTAACCCAAAAACTAATTAATTTTGCATAAATTTGTGAAAATAAATATCTATTTTAGAAAAAATATAACCTAAACAATTATCAAAAAGATAGGAGAGAATATTAATTACTTTATAAATTAACCAACTCAAAAGGTAGGCTTGACTTTGGGAATATATTCTCATCATCGAATTTAATAGTGTAAGAATAAGTTGTGTTTTTAAGTTCTGCACTTCTGCTCCATAATCTCGTTCTTTTTTCTAATTTCTTTTCATTTCAAAATTACAACCCAACAACAATCTGTCATTTTTTATTATTATTATAATATTTGATCTAATTGTGACAAAAATTCATTAGTATTCGAATTTATTTAATGTTGTAAACTAACCACCAATAGATGTTGCCAACAAAAAGATAAATAATAACTAAAATTATACAAATATAGTATAGGATCTAGGCCAACTTTTTTTATAAAACAAAAAAAAAAACATAAAAAAAAAATTAAATTTAGTCGATAAAAAGATTTATATGTGTAAGAAACTTTTTTTTACTCAAATATATATGGAAGGAAGATCCATTAATGTTAACCGTAAACTTTTTTTGCACAATCTTTAAAACCCTAAATGTTCTATAAACCCACAATCTTTCACAATTTTCTACCTACGATTTAGAAAATCACATAACATATTTTTTCAATTGACTAATACAACAAGCATACACAAAATGGACATCACAAAGACTTCCATGACTTTTTTGTTCTTCATTATATTAGCAGCTTCTAATCTTCTATGTCCAATTACAACATCTTGGCTACAAGCAAGTTTCTATATTGTTAATTTCTAATCAGGTTTTAGATATCATTTATAACATGCATATAGATACTCATGTGGTAACTTTGTGGAAATATATGCAGATATCAAACCTACAGGGAGAATTCGTGATCAATGCACGAAAACTTGTTCAACAACGTATGGGAATGGTAAATGTAAGGCAGACTGTAAGAAGGTTGGATTCAAATCTGGACGATGTGTTACTTCTTCTCTTTTCGGAAACAAATGTTGTTGCAACAAATGATATATAGACACCAATTTTGTCTTTGCATTGATATGTTTTTTTGCCTTTTTCATAATTTAAATGAATTTTTAGTACTATTTTCGTTTTTAGTATAAGGCGCATAACAACAATAATATTTTGATAATCATATTTTAACTTGAGACAATGGAAGTTACGATGATTAGTTTTATACAGTTTCCAATTGAGATCAATATTTTCTTCATGCGGTAGAGTTGTCGTCCAACTTGAAAAATGGGTTCATTCATTCTCATGATATCTAGTTACAAGTGTGTGCTGTTTAAAACTGAAAAGACCTAACCCCCATTTCTTTTTTTTGTATATTTTATTAATTAAAAATCTTCTACTTACTAATTAACTTAACGAAATTAAACTAACAATAAACCATCATGTACAACGAAAATATACTAAACCAATTCTTAATCATAATATTAATTAACCAATATTCAATAACCACAATTTACACCATCAATCTATCATGTCTCTAAACCATGTTCCAACAACAATTCAACATAATCATAAACATAACAACTGAAACCCTAGATCATCCTCCTCTTCATTGCCATGATTCCACGTCACACTTTACCTGCACCACAAACACAATGAGATGCGTGGGTATTATCATAAATACTCAACGAAGTCCTCTCATCTATTAGGCTATACACACAAGCATATTAAACCAAATCAATAAGCATCAGATTAACCAAATCAAACAAACCAGCCATAAAAAACACGAATTACTCGCAGTCTAGAAATTGCTGCCCAGAAAAACTGTCCAAAATTGGTGTCGACCGATACCCACACATGTGGCGATCAACACTACCTCCGCAAAAGCCCTGAAATCGCTTCTCAACTCTTCAAAGAGCAAATTCAGCACCTCCAACGCTCCAGCCATGAACCCTAACACTCAATCATGCAAATTCAGCAACCAAAACACACAAATAAGTCACACACAACAATTTCCAGCCATCCAAATCAATCCTACACATTATAAGGGTTTAACATGCTCAGATGAATCATGGTCACGCACTCACCCTTGATATGGATTGAAAGGATGGGCAAAACAGAGAAGAAGAACACTCCAACAACCTCTCTTCAAACCCAAAGCCACGAATCCCACTGATCTCTTGCTAGAACACCCAAGAACAGCCTCCGGAAGCCTCCAGAATTCCCTCGCAAACCTCACCTTAGCACCTTAGGATCCACCTTCCCTCACAACACTCTCTTCTCTATTTTAGAAAGAGACAAAACACCAAAAAGAGAAGAAGAAAGACGGCTGCTCGAGTTTTAATCGACCTAGGATTGCTCTCAAACCAAAATTAAGTCAACCCAACACTGATGTCGGTCGACACAACCAAAATTTCAGACACGGGTGTTACAAAAACGACCATAAAAAACATCAGTATTGAGCTTCGGCTTTTAAACTAGATACCCTTAGTAAAATTATCATAACAAAAAAGCATAAGAGAGAGGTTGTGAGATCCTAGTTTGCGGAGAGATTTAAACAAATTAATTTGGCCACATATGTCACCAAAATGCACTTATATTTTCATTCAAAGGGCATGAGAAATATCAACAGCCAAGCGTGTTTATGCTGGAGTAGTCAAAGGATGGGTGGCCTTCCATGAAGTGGTTGTCGGAACTATGCGAGTGAGACCAAAACATAGGAAAATATTACATGGTGATTTATAGGGCTCGTAAACAAGTCTTTAAGCCTCCCATACGTTGCAAACCTGATGTCGGATATGAATGAGCTCACAGGCCTAGTGAGAGGACGTGAGACCCATTAAGAGAGGTGGGCCCATGGGCTGAGAGTGAACATGGACCCACTGAGAGAAGTGACGGTGGGGGCATTATAAGTGGTATGAGAGCCAAACCTAGAAGAGTGTGGAGTAGTGGGCTCACATCGTCAGGGAGTGATGGTCTTGGTGCGCAATGAGGGCGGTGCAGTCTGTTAGTGGAGGAGAAATGTGAGACCCTAGTTTACGTAGAGGCTTAAATGAATTGATTAGGCCACCTATGCCACAAAACTGCACTTATATTTTTGGTGAGGGGTCCTTAGAGAACTCTACAGTTAAGCATGCTTATGCTAGAGTAGTTAAAAGACGGGTGACCTTCTGGGAAGTGGTCGTCGGAACTGTGTTAGTGTGTTAGTGAGGCAAAACACAGAGAAAGAACATGTGGTGATTTGTAGGCTGGGTAAACAATACTTTAAGCCTCCCGGATGTAACAAACCGACAATCGGATATGGTGAGAGGACGTAAGGCATATTAAGAAAGGTGGGACCATGTGCTTATGCGCCCACTTAGAGAGATGACGGTCGGGCGTTACAGAGTTACATAGGTTTTCTTTAAGAAATCATGGTTTCTTGCTTAAAAACACATTTACATGTGTCATATATATATTGGTTTAACTTTTTCCACAAGTTTTAATTCATTAAAAGAAATAGATTTTACCAAACAAACTATTATACATTTTATTGCTAGGATACTTTCATGTGTATCTTATTTAATATTAGTGCTCTAAGAGTAGATATGGTGTCTTGTAAACTATTTTAAAACTGTTGATAATTTTATTTATAATACAATGGGTGTTGTAAACAAAATGAAGTATGAAGATGCAAATATTATGTTGAATAATATCAACACGGTGAAAATTGAAGGAGATAGGATAAGATAATAACTTTGAAAATTTTCAAATATTATAAACATTTAAACTTTATAGAATGTTTAAACTCTATAAAAATTTTAAAATATTATGAATATTTTAATTACATATAGAGTTTAAGATATTATAAATCTCAAACTCTATTAAAAGTTTAAGTGTCATTAATATTTTAATTCTATATAAAAAATTATTATTGACATTTCCATAAGTTTTAAAATGGGTTCAATTTGTTGGTCATAAGTTATTGTACGAAAGAGCAATTATCACAACTTTTAATAACATTTATACACGGATTGTATGACTGGACGGATTTGAATGACGGCACGAGTTTGAATTATGCTTAATATCAAATATACAGATTAATATAGATTAACATATTATTAATCAAAATGAGTTAAAAAATTATACATACTAACTTTTAAAAACACCAGTATAAGATATGTCGCATTAAACTGATTTAGTTAAATTTGATATTATGGAATCTTAATAAATTTTTTAAAAATCCTAGCATAATTGAAAGATTAAAAAAAATATTTGGTCCGTGGTTTATCACAAATTAAAATCTAGTATTCGATATTTTTGCCGAAGACTAATAGAGAGATTAGAATAGACTTTTGGCGCAATGAAGAAGAAAAGACTTTTTGCGCAATGAAGAAGACTATGCAGAAAGACTAGTCAAGCTGAGTGGGTTTATTATCTTTGTTACGTATATAAAGAGATGACCACAATTTCGATTAGTCTGATCAGTCTCATTCTTATTACTTTTCTTTTCTCTTATTTTTCAAAAATAAAGTTTACTTTTCTTGTCGTCTAATGAAGTTGGCATGCTTGGTCTTCACCGGCATGATTGTGGCCAGTCCACTCATAGCCAACGCGGCTCTTCATTGTACAGCCGTTGACAGAAACTTGAAACCGTGCACTAGGTACTTAACCCAAGGTAATCCAATAACCTCAGAGTGCTGCAAGGGCGTTCGAAACCTTAACTCCATGGCCCTAACGACCCTAGACCGTCGACAAGCTTGTCTTTGCATTCAATCTGCCGGTAAAGCTGTTGGCCCTGGTCTCAACGCTGGCCGTGCTGCTGGAATTCCTAAGACATGCGGAGTCAAAATTCATTACAATATCCAAATTCGGACCAGCACCAACTGCAACACGTACGTTAATTATCTCTCTCCCTCTCATATATATATAGTTTAAAATGAAGTATATTGTTAACAGAATACTATCGTCTTTGGCTCGTCTCCTTCCGCGATACGCACCTGGTAGTATCCCGCCCGGCCGGACCTCACAAAACATATTGTGACTGATAAAATTCAAAACTTGTATCAATGGTGTTTTCTTATTGTATGTGGCTGCAGCGTGACCTGAGCGGCGGCTACTAGCTAGCGGATATTTCTATGGACATAAATTGGAGAGTAAATCAGAGATTAGTATTTTTTTTGTTTTGTTTATGCATTATTTATATGTCAGTGAAATAAAATTGCTTTCTTGTTAAATTTGATGGGTGAAAATATATAGAGACTATAGAGTATGAGTTGGATGGGTGAAATTGCTTTGTTGTTAAATTTTAGTGGTAAAATAAATTTGCTTTGTTTTATTTTTCAACAAATTTGCTTTGTTGTAATAACATATATCTTCTACAGAGATTTAATTTGGTTTAAGGGTGATCAAAGTTTTGCTCTCGATCGTCTTCCTCCTAAAGATAAAATGGATTTTTTTTTTTTTTTTTTTTTTTTTTTTTTTTTTTTTTTTTTGTCAGTCTTCCTCTTAAAGACTACGATCTGCAATCACTCAATGATTGTACGAGACGAATTAATTCCTAAATTTATTTGTAGTGTTAACATTTGTATTTTTGCATAGTAAGATTAAAATATCAAATTTTTGAATATTAATAGCTTAAAGTATTTTTTTTTCTTTAATTGGTAGGACATGTTTATTTAATTTATTTATAATTACGTAAAAAAAAAAAGAATTGAAGGAGACTTATTAAAAATAGTTTAATAAGTCTTTGTACCAAGTCAATGATCTGAGACTTTAATATATGTCATTTTTTAAAAGAAGAAAATTAGTTCAAATATGTACCAATTAAGTAACTATGGTAGAATTAGTTTTTAAAGATTAGTCATTATAATATGATTGTGAATGTACCAAGTAAATTGATCTGAGGCCTTCATACATATATTTTTGTTGTTTAGAAGAAAGAAAATTCAAATATGATTAAAACGTTTTTTGAACTAATAGTATTTCTGGTTCAAATAAGAACAAGATAATCAACTGGTCAAATCTTTGAAAATAGTAGAGAAATATTATATTGATTTTTAAATTAAAAAAAATTAAAATTTGTTCATTGCTCCAAAATCAATTCATCAATTGAATAAAATGGATTGGGTTTATCAATGAATCCAAAAAAATAAATGAATTGGGTGAAGCCATAAATCTTTCAAATCAAATATATTTCATTCAATAAAATATATTTAATTCAATTATTCAATTGATTATATATTTCATTCAATTAACACATAAATTGACTTTTAATAAAGTTATTATCATATTTATTATCATCCGTCTCATGTACGTACATGTAATCATACCATATAAATTTATAGTATGTATTATCTATAGTATACACATATTAAGCTTTTTAGGAATTTTTATTATATATATTTAAAGATTATATAGTTATTTTCGTAGGTTTATTAATATATTTTAACGCAATTAAAATTAAGCGAAAAATTGTATTTAGTTTCATAATTTCTTTTAAACACAATTTATACTATTAAAACTAAAGTACTCATTAGAGAATAACCAAAATTTTAACTGAAATAAAGTACATCCCTAAACGAATATACACACGGATCTAATTAGCAAATAGATGCTTTAATCAGGTTTAAAGAGTCAATCTCAATCGTTTATCTATATATCAAATCTTAATCGTTTATTTTCAAAGATTTGATTAACAACATTCAATATTGTATCTTATCAAATTGATAATCAATTAAAATATTACCTTAAATTTTATCTAAATTTAATTAGATTGGCTACATGTAAGGACATAGAAATCTCTAAATTTTACCTTTAATTATATTATTTTAATCATTAAATATGTTAATCAAATCTAGATATTAATAATTCTATTAGAGAATAAAATATTTAATTTTATATAAATGATAGCTTAAAAATCGAGATCCTAATGATTTTATAACAGGATACAACATTTAATTCCAAAAAAAATTATAAAAATTATACATTATATTATTAACATATTCCTTAACTACTTTCTAAGTTCTATTAGAAAAAATATCACAATCTTAATATTTTTAAAACTTGCTCACCAAGGTTATCTACTCATTCACATCAAACTTTACCCTTAAAACACTATAAATACTTCTCATTCAAAACACCTTATCACACCAATTCGGTAAACACAAACAAAAAAGTATTAAAAATATTGTTTTAGCGTAGCAATAGATAGTTTACTTTTTTTATTGTAACATCTGTGAACCAAATGTTGGTTCGGTTGTCGATCAACACTAGTGGTGGCGAGTGTTGATCGACACCATAATCTTGTCGGTTCAGCCGGTTCAATTTAATTGGATTGGTTTGGGTTAACCCTAGGGATCGTGCTTAAAAGCGAGAACTCGACCCTAGTGGTTTTCAGCTGCTTTCCAAAAATTGTAAAATTAACAGTGAAGGGTGAGGGTGATTCCAGTGAGTTTTGGTGAGTTCTAGTGAAGTTTGGATGCTTGTTCCTGCTTGTTTAGACTATAGGAGGCTAGATCCGTGCTGTGTGATGTTAGTCAGAACCTTGCTTGTTTGTCCCTGTTTCGTTGATGTTCATCCATTGCAAAGAGGTGAGTGCATGACCAAGGCTTATCTAGGCAGTTTAATCAGTTTTTTGGATGTTTTGATGAATGTTTGATTGATTTCTTTTCTTGGTTGGTTGATTTTCTGTGATATGATCGTTGTGAAACCCCTTGGAGATTCGCTCGTGGCTTGGGAGTGGTTGGAAATGGAGATCTAGTGAGAAAATGCAACTCGAGTGAGCAGAGTATCGGTGTCGATCGACACCAGTGGTGGGTATCGCTCAACACCAATGTTTTGTTCCGCGAGGATAGTTGCGACTCATGAATGGAGTGTCGAGCTCGGTGTCGACCAAGTGTGTCGAGTGCGAGTGTCGATCGACACTGATCGTCACCAGTGATGTTACTTGCTGTTTATTGTTTGTGTTGGTTCATTTTCCTTGATGTTGATTGATACTGCTTGTGTTTATAGCCCAGTTGTTGGGATAAATGTCTTACTAAGTATTTATGGAAATACTTATGCATCTCTTTTCGTGATGCAAGTAAAGAAAATGTGTGACCGTGGAATCATGGCGAGGAGAGAAGAACGATATAGGAAATTGCTAGTTCTGGAATTTAGAAACATCATAGGTTGACTATGTTATTTGCTGGAATGTTTGCTGGATAAATGGTTAATGCATTTAGTTTGTTGGATTGTTAATTTAATGTCTTCCGCTGGTTTTATTGTTTATGGTTTAATTTAGTTGGAATTGCTAGTTAACCGATTTAAATTGAAATTAGATTAATTAAATTGGTTTAATCTGGTTAGTTGGTTAAAAATTGATTTAGTCTGGTTTAGCTGGTTTAGTTAATTTAAATTAATTGGGTTAATCTGGTTGCATGACGAAAAATTAAAAATAAATTGGGTGGGGTCTTTTCATTTATCATCATAAATCTTTTTTATTAATTGTTTGGAGTTTTTTTTTTAATATTTTAGCGTTTGATATTTTTAATTGTTTTAAACATTGTCCAGTTTGTATCAAAATATGTTGATCTTTAGTTTGTATAAACATTGTCCAGTTTGTATAATATATGTTTATAGTTTTTCAGGTAATTTCGGTTATGAGATTATTGGTTACTAGCACTAAACTCAAACCAGAAAAGTATCCAGTATTTGGGTCGCACCGTAGATTAATCATTCAAACCGACCATACCTGTCCAAAACTGAAAACAACTGATTTGCTAAATACTTGCAAAATTAAACACTATATCAAATAAGAATATATTTTAAAAATAATTACGATTATATTTTTTATTAACTTTTAAAAAATGTAATTCGTGTTGTAGCACGGGTTATCCCCTAGTTTGAAAAATAAAGAGAAATATTTTCAGGTCTCGGTGTCGAACTAGTGAGATATTATAATTGAAATTCAATTACATAGGATAGCATTTTTTTCAAGTTGAGGGTAAACTCACAAAAATGATATTTGGAAGGGCTTATTTTATTTAACTGAAAATCTTGTTTAATTGGGTTTCAATGTTCCCTTAGTCCAGTGGTTGATTCAGCGGTTGATTAATGCTTCTACACCTAAAGTTATGAGGTTCAAAACCGAGATAATATAATTTATTAATTAATTTGCAAAAGAATGAGACAAGTTTACAGGGAATCTACAATGATTCACAATTAGGACTGTTCGCTGTGAGTCTACGCATGGAGAAGAAAGCGTCATCTGTCCGAAGAAGAAGTGTAATATGTAGTAAATCTAATAGGGCCCGAGAGAATTGCATGTTGTAGAATAATCATTGTAACAGTTCTCACAATTTACAATAATTAATAATTAAAAAGGGAAAAAAATTGGGTTTCAACGATTTGGTTTTTTTATTGTTGTTTGAGACTCACTATTTTTTGTTCGTCCATTCACATGTTCTTAGTGATAAAATTGGTTTGATCATTCTATTTTAGATTATATATATTTAAGCATTAAAAGTGTTTAACAAAATGGTGGAACGAATGTGATTCTAGTTAACGAGAGATGATGCTAGAAAGTGTTTGATATATTGTGTCTTTATCGGTTTTAAGTCTTTTTTTTCTCTTTCATTTTATAATTTTTATTGAGTCAAAGTGTGTTTTAAGAGTCTTTTAATTCATTATAGAGTATTTATAGGTTTTAGGTTGTTTTGGAATAAAATGAACCGTTTTGGGATGCAAACACACATTTGAAGATGCAGATTTATGTAGAAGTGTCAGATGTTTGAGATTAGATGGACGACTTTCCACCGTTAGATCTGTCTTATATTTTGACACAAGATGAAGACAGATGTTAGCTTTAGTTTGCAAGTGATTTCAAAGAAATCTAACGGTGAATGCAAGAGTTACCAATTTCGTGAAAACATGTCATTCTGACGAGTTGTTGAAGTTGATGCAGAATTGAAACCTGCGAGTATTAGACCCATCGGTCTACATTTGGATCGTTCAGTCCGTTACCTCTGAAGCATTTTTTGGCCCACATTCGATCTAAAACACTTCAGAACCGATCCAAATCGTCTCTTATTGTTTTTATACCCTAGGCTCGACTTTTTAGTAGCCATCCTTCATTTTTTCAGTTCAAAACATTGTTCTTGTGCTTTCTAAACAATTTTGGAGAGAAGAATCAACCCTCTTTGAAAATTTGGAGAACATTTCTA